TTATGAAAGGAATATAGCATTGCATCCCCATTTTCACTAGTGTAACTTATGCTTCTGATTAATCACAGAAGAGGTTAGAAATAGCAAGCTACGTAGGACTGTAGATGGAGGAAAGGGCACTTCATTGTTAACTGCCCAATTTCTGCTTTTGAATTGGTGTTTCTTTTATATATAGATAGATAGATGTATATATATACATACAGGTATTGTGTAGGCATGAAATTACAGTATCACTGGCTTTTCTAATTGGCAGAATAAATCAGCTCTTAAAATGGCAGACAATAAGAATAACACTGTAATTAAGTTAGCATTCAAAACACAATGCAGATAACCAGAACCTTATTCCTGGAATCGCTACTTACCCCTAGTGTTATTTTAAAGAATTAGAGCTGCAGAAAGAGAATCCTGTCTCTTAGATAACAGGATTAGCAGTGTATTACCTCATTAATTACGTGCTCTGGATTCGAGATCTGGAGTCCATACTTAAGTGCTTCTGTGTATGATTGCTGTAAAGTAGGTGTGATATATATATTTTTTTTTTTGTAAGCTGTGATTGCAGAGCAATAGTTCTTAACAATATTAGTACATAATGCAATAGGGAAGGCACCTCCAGAAAGCGCTGAGGCAGTGTAACTGGAAAAATCCCGTGTCTGGGGAAAATGCTTTGTGATAATTTTGTAAGTTTGGCTGCTTAGTTTGCTTTTCATGACTGTATAGTGTTTCTCCAGTGTTTCAAAATTTCAGTCTTGTGAGACTGAGTCGTCCTCAAATAAAGTCAAACTCATTCTTGCTATGATTACACGATACATATTTTTCTAATAATACTTTTGAAGGAACACTTAATGTTACTTGTTCCATTACCACAAACTGATGGGAAAAAAACCCCATTATTTTGGTTACTTAAAATATTCGTAACCTGAGTTGAGAAGAAATAATGAAACAGTCTTCCTTTCTCAGCTTATTTCCTAAGGTGGTCCATCCTCAGTGAAAAGGTTCTTTATAGTCTCATGCATCACAATAAGCTGTGAGTGTTACTAAGATTAGACACCTCTGCTTTTATGTCTGCCTTTAATTTCCACATGTCTAAATGACATTATCTTGAAGCACATCTATTCTGAAACGACTAGAAAAGGGCACCTTTCACCCACTAGTATTGCTGATGACCCCATTAATATAAAAGAGAAAGATGAATATCAAATAATGAAGTTACCTATCAGCAGACTGACTAAAGAATAGCATGTATAAACATAAGACATGAACAGTTGGAAAGGGACTGGAGTGTTATTAAGGATGTGATTTCTCTCCTACCTTGAAGAACCCTTAAGGGAAACAAATAATATATGGGGAATAATATGTAAACTTGAAATAGGTCTGTAGCTGGCACCATCCCTTAGCAGTGAACTTTTTCCAGTTTAGCATTAAATGGTTTTACAGTGGGAAAGTTTATAGTCTCCTAGTGCCTGTAAGCAGGAAGAAACACTTGATTGGTCAGTATGATTGGTAACAACTTCTAATGTGAGGAAATTTCTTTTTACAACTCACTCATTTCCATTTGAGTTCAAATAAATAGGTTGTAGAAAGACCATAGGAGCATCTTAGGCAGTTTCTGCTGTTGGTGCATTGATTTCTCCACACTAATAAACTTCTAAACATCTTGTCAGTACTCAGGTTGCATTTACAGTAATTTACTGGCATTAGATCACCAAAACCCTTCTTAGTGATGTTGTCTGATCTGTTCTGTGTACAGTGGAGTAATCCACTTACACTAACACTTCATTGGCTCTAAGGGGAGATTCATTCAGTCTCCTGGAGTTTGCTTTGTGCAGATTATTGCCTTGGACAAAATAATTTGCTATAAGAACTCATTTACAAACCAAGTGTCCACTGGTGCCTGTTTCACTAAAATTCAGAGCCCGATTATTCAAATTCCCTAAGGTGTTCTAAAACTTGGCAGATAAAACTGAAAATCCAAATTTTCACTTTCTCTCCTGTCGAAAACCAAGATATTTGTGGTTTTTAAATAAGCTCTTCTGCCCTCAAGCTGCATTGGAGGTTGCATGGGTGTGCAGACCTTTTGTAAAACACACATTTTGAATGCTGCATGACTGCCTTTTTGATTGGAAACAGGGACTTTCTTCCTTAGTTGCTTTAATTAAAAGCAAAGTTTTCCAGAGGATTGGTTGGTGTGTGTTCGTGCATAAATGTTAGGGAGAATCCTGCCAAGTCAGGGGATAGTTATTCTCTGGAAGAAATCAGTGTCTTCTCAGTTCTAAAATCTGAATATTTGCATATGAAAGTATGTAAGAGTTTAAATTGTGTAATGATGGTACCTTAATTAATAGTCTTCATTAGATCCTACAAGCTTTTGTCTTTGTCTACTTATTAAAGAGCTCTTTCCC